GCTAATCTAATTTTTATTTTGCTTTTGTTTGAAAGAAACCTGTGGGTATTGCTAATTGATATTAACAGTGAGTATGAATTCCATAATATGTATGTTATAACACACACATACACATTTTTACACTGTAGGTATGAATAGAAGCCAAGAGCAGCTTCCTTGCTTCATATAAGAATAAGTGCTTCTGTTAGAAAATATCTTAAAATAACTAGGGTATATTGGAGGTAGATCCCATTGGTAACCAAAGCACTTTAGTTACAAAGAGATCATGATTTAATATTTGTGCTGTGGTTCTTGAAATGTAATATCTATAAAGTAGCAAGACTATTCCAGTAATAGTATCTTCCATATGAAATGGAACTCTTTGTTTTGGGATTATTCATAGATCATTTCCTAGTCTAGTTTTTAATTTTTGTTCTATGGAGACCCAACAAAATAAAATGTTTGCTGCTGTTAGCTATTTTGTTAATTGTGATATTGTTGTTTTAATCATTCTTAATGTTAATTGACTTGTCTTGCTGATGGTATAATAAACAGCCCATTTATTGTAATTTTTATGAACTACCTTGAGGGCCTTTTTTTGGAAGGCTGAATTGATGGTTTTTTCCCCATTTATCAGTCCTTTTTTCCGATTGCTGATTTTATTATTATAAAGCTGTTGTTTTACTTTCTAAATATGCTGTTAGCCATTCAGGACAAACATTTAGTGGCTGGTGGTCAATAAACAACTGGACATTTCAGTGACTTCAGTTCTTATCATTGCTTTTGATTGGATTTCACACACACCCCACCCCACCCCCGAGAGATGCTCCATGCGTTGGAGGTTCTCCTGGACTCACAGTTCTTAAGATGGATAATGTGGCTAGAGGAGCCTTCATTCATCTCGAACAGATATACCAGTTACAACCCTGTCTGGGCAAAAAAATATTGATCACCCTGTAGTTGGACTACTGTAACAAAAACTTTGGAAGGCTATCTTTGGAGACGATTCAAAAGCTACACCTGAGGTGCAGAAGGTGGTGTCCAGAGGGCTTATGGTCCAGATTGATTCTGCAGAATAACATTGATTTCAAGTTGCTACACTGACTTACCAGCAGGCTTTTATGTCCACTTCAAAGAGCTGGTTATTGTCTTTTAAGCCAAATACACTGCAGCACCGGGATCTAGCAGGAACTATATTGACAAAATTTAATCTGCCCGCCAGCTCTGTAGCTTTTTCTCATTTATTTTATTTATTTATTTATTTATTTATTTATTTAATTTTTATCCCGCCCTTCTCCTTACGGACTCAGGGCGGCTGACAGCCTTGTAAAACAGATACAACAATAAAAATACCCAGTTTAAAACCTAATTAAAATGAAATATTTGCTGTGGCCTATGTCAATTAAAATTACTCTTAAAACCCCACTAAAAATTCCCCTAGGCCAATCCCGCTTG